AGCTCCAGTTTGCATTAAGCACCAAATGGCTTCCACTTAAATAGCAATTTGGTGGGGAGGGCTACATTTGGGGTCTTACATCCCTTACACACATACACAAACTCTGACATTCCCCCAGTGCAACCACGTTCTGACACTCTCCCCACTCCCACTCCCCCTGACTGTATTCAGACACTGGCGCAAATAACTCTTTCATGCAGGGCACATCTGAGCTGAAGGCGTCAGAAGAGCCATTTCATGCTTGATTGCATTCTCTAATACAATCCACAGTGAGAGAAGAGAGAGTGAAAGCATGTGTGTACATACACAGTGCCTGTGACTATTTGCAGAGTGCATTTGGTTCTAGTGTGCAGCTCTGGGTGGTAAATTAGGGGTACAGATGTAAAGAGGAAAGGGTTTGTGCTTTTACAGGTAAACCCAACTGCTCAGTCTGAAAAAAAGAGAATTCCCCTTTCCTTTATGCTTCCTCACCAGAAACTGATGCAAGACCTGGGTTGGCACTAGGAACTGGCACTCAAGTGGTTGGATGTAAGAGGGGTGTCGGATGGAAGGGGATGCATGGATGGGTTTAGTAGAGTGAGTGTTAACTTTTGCTTTAGCTCAAACCACCCATAGTTGGGCCTGGAAAAAAGTATAATCCTATCATAGCAATGACTTCTTGGGTTTGGTTAAAAGATACAGAATGAGTGAGTAAGTACAAAAGATATGAATTAAGCATTTTCAGTGAGGGGGAACCTAGAACACTTTAAACCAGGGATCAGCAACCTTTGCTGTCACAAGGGCTACAAATCTCTGTCTCTCCTCGCTCCCCCCAGCTCCCTGCACTTACCCTCAAATGTCTGGTCCCTCTGCAATAAGGATAAAAGCTACAGGCAGAACAGAATGACAGAGAGGGCAGCTCAGTGTAGCTGCATGTCACCCAATTCCCCATGCTGCCCTGAGCCAGGTTGGACCTTCATGGGCCAGATCCAGTCTAAGGGCTGGAGGTTCCTGGCCCGTGCTTTAACCTGTGACATTACTGTAATTAGCCACTGAAAGCCTATCCAGCAATCATCAGAATAAAAGTGAGCGTACTCCTTTTTGTCCAGGGCCATAAGCAAATCTACGTTAGTCAGAGGTGAGGAGGACTTCATTTCTTGTTCCAAAAACAATAAGGCTTGCACAATCTGAAGTTTGGCAGACAGTAAGCATTGGTTCTTTGAAGCTTATTGCTTCCATGTCTCTCAGTTCCTCTCATATATGCACATAGAAGTTTTGCTGGGAACTGGGAGAGAAGAGAACGTGCAGACTGTCTTGACTGTCTTCCTTGTAGTTAGGTATGTTAGATTGTGAAATAGCTCTCCACAGGGGGTGTTGGAGGCCCCCATGAACTGGGACAACTAAAACTGAATTGGACAGTACACTAGTCAGTGTGCATTAGGGAGCAATTGTGCATTGATGTCAATGAGATGGATTAGGTGAGAGCTGGGTCTTTTCCAAGTCTAGGTTCTTTTACATGATTTTGTGATAAAAATTCTGCATTGAATGATCTTCACAGCTCTACCTCCTGTGGGGTTTGGCTGCAATGAAAAGGGACACTAATTCATGCATTAATGCATTTATGTAGATTTATAAATTGTGCTGATCAAAGAACCCTTTAGTGCGTATTCAGGGACTGAAACAATAATTACAACGCTGTGCAGGTTGCCACTGTTCTTGCCCAAGAATCTAACTCTGTCCCCTCAGAGAAGAATATCAATCTCTTCAAGCAAAACCCTGTGCCAATAGAGAATATTAAGCACTTTGTTTCTTAGCTTCTTTCTTGTGCTCAGCTCTCCAGTTTTTGTGACATCCTCTAAGAAGATAGAAAAAATATAATTGCTTCCCCAGTTGTTTTTGTCATTTTCTAGTTTCCTAGCACTCATTCTGCCTCCATCTCCTGACATTTCTGCTTTTCTAATAACACTTACATCTGGATCTTGGTTTGTTTCTTCCCATGTTTGCATCATAGCACCATTAATTATGTCAGCGTAGCTACAGAAACATTAGCTAACTGGTAGCAGTAGGGAAAAATGTGATAGAATGGTGGACACCAGACACAGACAAGACCTGGTAGGACACATTTGTGCTTGTACAGATTTATTCCCTACAGTACCTCTCCTGTGAACAGAAATGAGTGTTACCCCATCTCAAAAAGAGAGCAGACAGTCAAAGTTGTAGGCCCAAAAACAAAACAGAAGTTTTGGTTATCTGTTCCTGATTAACTTCCCATAGACATCTTTTTCAGAGCTTTGCCTAGATTTGTTTTTAATGTCTGCAAGATGCTAGACTTTAGCTGCAGCTCTTAGAAGTCTGTTCCACAGTCTAATACAGTGGTTTTCAACCTGTGGTCTGTGGACCCCTGGGGGTCCACAGACTGTGTCTAAGGGGTCCATGGAAGAGTACTGTGATCAATCAAAAGTATGTGAATACGTAGGTTTACAATTCAAAGGGGTCTGCATCTCCATTCAAATTTTTTTAGGAGTTTGCAAATTTAAAAAAGTTTGAAAACCACTGGTCTCTGATATGAGAACTTTTTTTCCTGCTGTTCAGCTTCAGTTTGTCTTTGCTTAGTTTCACCCCATTACCCCTAGTTATACTTCAGTGAACTGTTCCAAACACTTCTTTTCTAATTTAGGATTTTTGCGAGTCTTTGATAGGCTCACGACCACAGCACTGGGCAGTGAGCATACCCCGCCTCCTGGGCTGTGTCACACCTGCGTCTGATCACCTGCCATGACTTACTGTTATGCTCGGTTTTACCTCCAGAGGTGGTGTCCAGTGGTTCCCGTAGGAGCCAGGGCAAATCTGCTGGCATGTCTTTTGTGGGGCTTCTCCTCTCCTATACCCCACCCCTTTCTGCTCAGGTGTTTAGGATCAGCCTGGATGATGCTCAGATTTGGTGACAGGGCTCTCTCCTCCTTCACTGAAGCCTGATAATGATGACAGCTGCAGGAGTTCTGGCTGTGTCCCTTAAGCTTGCAAAAATCACAATGTAACAATAATTCAACTAAAGTAGCTTGGATGGTGCAGTGGGCAGGGCAACAATGCCCCCACGCTGACCACTTTTTCTTCAGCATGTGGGGTATGTTGGTGCCTGGCGCCCCCTTCTTCCACAGATTTTTAAGTCATTGGTGCCCTTTGTTGGGCATGCTTTCTGGTCTGGGTTCCACCTGGCCAAGTCCTATAATGCTGCAAGGTGTGTCCCTCCACGCCTGTACAATACTCACAGTTCTACCAGTCCCCTGCCAGAGCACTCTGGGTCTGTGAATGCTTGAGGGAAATGTGTAGTGCCAGGGGGGTCCTATGCCAGGTTCTTCCCTTGGTAGTCTCTGGCAGTGCCCTATGGGCTGCCCTCTCCCAGCCCCAGCTGACCTGTGTGTTCCTGCAAAGGTTATCACAGGTGCCAGGAAGTGGTATCGGATCTGTGCTTCTTGGCTTACCAGCTGTGGCAATCAAGCTGGTGCCTGCTGGAGTCCCCAGTGTTGCCTGGGCAGTCTGGGCTTCCAAGCTTTTTCCAGGGCTTTAGCCCTGGGGAGAGCTACCGGCTGCTTGCTGGCTCTGTGGCATGTGTCCGGGTCTTTCCTGGGTGCTCCAGCAGCGAGACAGGTATGCACTGCTTCTCTGGGCATGGTGGCCTCGCACGGACACACTGGGTCCTTTCCAGCCATGGGGAGAGTGTCCGGCTCTGCTGCTGGTGCTCCCACCTCTCTCCCCCCGGCTCCGCTTCTGGGCTTCCTTTAAACCCAGAGCAACCAACTGGCGGAGCTCCTTCTGGCTGCATGGCACCAACTGGCTCACTTGCAGATTGGCCAAGTGGATACCAGCGCTGCGGTAAGTAGGTCTGGAGCTTGTCACAGGGTCCCAGAGGAATATTAACATAAACAAGGGGGCACTGAATTTCTAAGAACAATGGGCTTTACAAAAACCCATTTACTCAGAAGCAGTAAAACAAGTGCAGGGCTTGTTTTGTTGTGTGCATGTCCCTTGTCCTTTTGAAGTTCCTGATGATGAGCTTTAGATCACTGACATCCTTCTTCCTGACACCCAGCTAGCTAGTATTTAGAGGGACTGGTAGCTCTCTGTAGTGTTGATTGTACCAAGGGCGCTGTTTTAGAATATTTTGTCTTTTGTGTGATGGTGCTTCCGCAGGGTCAAAGCAGCCATTACCCGTCATCCCTGAGTGAAAAAGTGATGTGCCAACTTGTGCACAGTTTGTGAATGGTTGTTTTGTTGTGATGGCTGCTAAAGCAATACAATCTCAGGTTGTGTGATTCTTTTCAATGCCACGCCTATCCTATCTGTGGATGGCAGAGTGAGCACCTACTGTACATTTCAAAGACATTAAGGAAAGCTGTCAGAAAATTACTGGATACAGTTCATTTTACATGATATCACTGTATAACTATGAAAATATACAATGCTATCACAGTGTATGCTCCGTTGCAAGTGTATTGAATTGAAACTTGCTATTTATGGGATCAAATACTCCACCAAATAACCTTGAATACAGGCTATATGATCACCAAATAAAAATCCATATGCTAGAGAGGTGCTGCTGATTCAATATTCTCTGTCTGAACTAATACTCAGGATAGTGCTAGGGTAAGCTGGGCAGCTGAAGGAGGTGCCAGCTCTCAAAACAGATGTAAAATAGAGGCTGTGCCACTTAATGAGCACGGTGAGACAGTGTTAATCTGTGTGTCCTGAGAAACTGTAGTCTTGAGTAATTGCATTTTGCTTTGTTAAATTGTAATTTCAGGTGAATACAGTATCTTCTGTTTCCTTTTTATGTCTGTTTTATAGGGTTACTGGGTATGTTTAAGCAGTCATCCTTAATGTACTCCCCAGAGTGGCTGCATTTTGGTGGCAGGTGACACGACTTCTGTATAAGGACTCTGTAAAATATTGAGGGGTCCTTCAGGAGTAAGAGTGCCATAGAAGGTTTCATTGTCTGCTATTGTTTCTTTTGCTCTCTGCAGAGGCTTCCATCCTAAGCTATGACGGGAGCATGTACATGAAGATCATCATGCCCATGGTCATGCACACAGAAGCAGAGGACGTATCCTTCCGCTTCATGTCCCAGCGCGCCTATGGACTTTTAGTTGCCACCACCTCACGAGACTCTGCTGACACCCTGCGCCTGGAGCTGGATGGAGGACGTGTCAAACTCATGGTCAATTTAGGTATCGTATAAAAACTCCCCCCTTCACTTTTAATTTGGGCTTGTAATTAGTGTTTTTTTCTCTCTTTTCTTTATTTCTGTTTGTTTGATCTGATTGAATTGATTTCCAAAGTAGCTGCTAAGACCTTTGTAATGATACACTCTGTGGAGAGGAATTCTCTCCAGCTGTTGCTGCATGGAGATTTGATGTCAATTCTTGGTTATGGATAGTGGTGATTTTAAGTATTTATGTTTTTAAGTTTCCTTTATTGGTCTGGAATTAGCTTTGTGTAAGACATGCTACTTGGTCCATCTTTTGATCAATCACTCTCATTAATCCAGCCTCTTTGTCACCACTCAAAACATTCAAAGCAAGACACAGGACAGATGCCAAAGAAAGGTGTGGAAGGGAAACAGGTGCTATGAATCCCAAGCCCTTAAAAACGCAATAGCATTTGACAGTAATGGCCCCCCAAATTAAGTAATTTTACTGTAGGCTGTAGCCATTAGGCTATTACTATTGAAAGTTTTGGTATGTTGGGCTTCTTTTTCCAACTGAGACATCAGTTGTAAAGGTAAAGGGGAAATCCTCCAACAGCTTGTTTCCTGTCTTCTCAAAGTTATGCATTCCCAGATGAAACCTGCTTGGCAACAAATCTGACAATATATGTCTCCTTCAGAACAAAGACTCTCTTTTTAAGCTTAGTTGAGAAACAAGGGTCCGTAGAACAGCAAAAATCTCCCAAATGTTTATAATTGTCTAGAAATTCTTGAGCTGAGGACATGACTCCCTTCTCCTCCTTCTCTTAGTGGTGTAGGGCATCTGTGTTGATGGGCCAGAACAGCATGTTTGTCATGCCAGTGTCTGAAGACCTTGGGAAAATGTAGTGAGAGAACACGAGTGGGGCCATAAGGAAATGACATCTTTCCCTCTATTTTGGGGAGTTGAAAATCGTAAGTGCCAGAAATTAAACATGTTTATCACTTCCACGAGTGCAACCTGTTGACTTCATGCAGTTACAGCAATATATTTGGGAGGAGAATCTGAGCAGGAAATAGAGCCATGCAACTAACTAGAAATGCCAAACCCCTCCATAGGCATGCATGCATGCTCTGTGATGATTTGGGGTTTTCATTCTAAATTCCAAGCCCCATTGTGACAGCTTCCAAATATTATGAATTTTCAGTAGGACACTCAACCTGAGCCTTGCTTTGATGTTTATACTGTACAATGGCAATTACACACCAATCTACATATCAGTGTGACCTGAGCATTGATTCCTGTCACAGATAGACATGGATGACATTATTTAAAGGATCCTGCATCAGAGCTAAAAGAGCCTTAAGTTTAATAGTGCTTCTTTGGACTGCTTCTCCTCATCTTCTAGTTCCATTCTTGGAAGCCAGTAGGGAAGAGAGGGTAATATATTGCCTTGTAGTGAATCCATCTAGCTGACTCAGGAGTTGCATTAATTTGTCTCAAACAGAATTGCTTTTCATCATCTTTGGGTTTGGAAGGCAAAATCAAACTTCTTGATTACAACTGGGGTAAGAGGCTGAAAAGGGGATGATTTATAAAAACGTGTGTCCATCTTTAATATAAGAGATGAAAACAAGCTCTATTCCAGGAGGATCTGCAAGGTACTTGAGCTTTGCCTTAGTTGGAAGAATAGCGCAGAGTTACCCAGGTCCTGTTGTCTGGAATTTACCTGCTGTACTCAGTGTATCCACCTAGCACAGAAAAAGAGGCAGCACCAAGTGACTGATCCTTCAGGAAAGATATCTTCTTCAGCCATCAAAATGCCTTCTCAAGTGAAGAAAAGGTGCCACTATTATAGTATGCTACAGCAGAAGATGTAAGTGGACCAGAGAATTTCATAGGCTGAAAATGTCCTCTTTGGGGAAGAGTTTCGAAGAAATACTCTTCTGCAGTCTAACATGTGGAAAGGGAATCCTTCACGAAGCTGACGTGCATCCGTGAGTGTGCTTTGTCTTCCAATCCAATGCTGTCTCTGGTAGTGATCTAACACCTCACTGATTTCACTCCTTTTCACAATCTCCTTTTTAGAAATTGTTTCTAACAATTTGCTTTTCATATAACAAACTGCTTCAGGCTTTGCTATGTGCTGAAATGCTGTGAGACTCTGCATCATACATTAATAGGGAAAAGATATTTTAAGTGGTCAAAGCAGTGGGCCTGGGCTACCTGGGTTTTACTCTTACCTCTGCACTGACTGTCATCCTGATGCCCTTTTATGCTTCTTAGTTCTGCTTCTCCTCTGACAGATGGGTTTTGCTGAAACTTAATGTCAGTTGCTTGGAACCCAGGACCCAGTTACCCCCATTATCTGAATTCCCAAGATTTACAAAGGTGCCAGATGTCTCCTAAGACCTTGAATCAGGACTTCCTTGCTTTTTGGCTCATCTCTTTACCAATGCATTGTGACAGAGGTAGGTCCTGTCTGAGACACTTAACTAGAGAAAATGATCTTTGCAGGCCAAAGACCCAAGCCATCAATTCCAAGTTTGTTAGCTTGTTCTTTGAGGAGACAGGTCACAGCCAGGAGGTCATGAGTGAAATGCAAGATCTTACTGTTTAACTCAGTCAAAATCCCCTTTAAGTGACAAGGTAGACACCATTTTCAACTTAAACTTATTAAGCCTAAGCTAAGATCTGGCCAGTCATACATCAGAATCCCTAAAGCATCTGATAATGGATATGTATAAGCAAGGACTGCTTTGAGTGGTGTCTAATGTAGTTGTGTTTTTCTTTTTCTTTTTCCTTTAAGATACTTAAAGCTATTACTAAGAACTGTCCTTCTTCCTTGTTCTATTCCATTTGGTTTTGACTATGGTTTGTGTGGCTTTTAAGGTCTTTTCTGTGCTTTTTTGCTTCTTTTTCTATGTATTTGAGTTGTAAAGCTTCCTCACACCCCATCGGCCATGGTAAATCAAAAGATGGTATTCAACCCTTCAAAGGCCTGAAGCCTGCGGCCCGCACAGCAAACAGCCCTGAGAACAGAGTGTACAGAGCAGCCTACAGGGGCTGGCATATCCCACTCGCTTCCCCAGCACTCATCGTCAAAAACTAAACCACAGGAGCATTTACTCCAAGTCAGGCTTGGGTGGGCGTGTGGGCAAGGGGAAGAGCCTTGGCTGTTAATTCTGTTTCTTTAAAGGGCATGAGGAGTTGTTTCAGATATAACCCAGACAGGTGCCCGGGGCAGTGTCTTCTGTATGTTAACAGCACATTTCACAGCATATTGGATGTTTGTTGTGTGAAGATTAGAAGCCCAAATGTGACACATCTCACAGTTCAGTTGAGAAAGAAATGGGGTGTGTGTGTGTGTGTGTGTGCGTGCGTGCGTGCGTGTTGGGGGGAGGTAGAGGGAACTAGAAGATGTTTAAAGAGGATGGGGGTAGGGTGGAGGTAGGGAAAGGAGAGAGAGAGAATTGTGTTCCAAAACAAGCTTTGGAATCACCTCTGCAAGTCCAGTGCTGAGAGGCAAAAAGAGAGAGAAATGACCAATCAGAAGAACACCACCTTTATCCAATGCCCAGCCCTTGCCAAAGCTGCCACTTGTCTGTGTTTAAGAACTTTGAGCTCCTAGTTCCTCTTCTTCTAAAATCACTGTCAGTGCTGGTGACTGGAACATAATTCCTGCCTCCACTACAGCATATAGCCAGCTCATCTGACTCAAACTCCTACAGGAGAGCACAGCCTATCGTACCTCCCTCTGTCTGAGCTTTGTTCCCCTGGGTGGCAATGACGCCTTTAGCTTTCTAAGACAGCTATTTCTGTCTTGCCGCTGGGAGGTATTTGACTCAGTGGCCATGAGTTCAGAGTCATTCAGCATCAGTGAGGTCATATACTTCCTTCCTCACTTCCCAGAAGAAACAGTTAATCATACAGCTCATTTTGTATTGTGCGCATGCGTGCACACACACACACACACACACACACACACACACACACACACACACATCTATGTGAATGCTTTTATATAGCATTACACAAAACAGACTCAAACTAATCACATAGGCAACACTTACTCTTTCACACACATTGATGCACAACATCCCATTTTGCATCTGTTTAGCTGCACAGGAACCTTTTTGCATCCAATTTCACTCAGCCTACATACGCCACACTACAGCACCCTGCCCAGGCAGACACACCTGGTCTTAGCATCCCACAATCCTTACTTTCTTTGACACTAGCAATAGACTTTCTCTTTCATGATCAGTGTACACACCACACCTCGCAGTCACTGTGTTTTTAATTTATTTTCAGTTTTCCTAGAGGAGTTGATACCCTGTGGGTATTTCTACACATGCAATAATGTGCATGAATAAACTCTAGGGATTATTGCTCCAGAGCTTTTTGCTTCCACCATTTGAACGTGCACCTGGGACCAAAGACCTCTGGAGCATATTGCTCTGGAATTTATTCGTGAGCAGCACATGGAGCCCAGTTGGAGCAGTCCAGGCTGGCAGGGGACCCAGAAGGTCAGCCTTCCAACCTAGGGCTTCTCTGACTGGGCTCTCCATGCTGTGGAGGGACTGGCTGAGGCATGAGGGTGCTTCAGTGCAAGAGCTTGCTGCTGGCTAGTCCTGCACTGAAGCACCCTATGCCCCAGCCAGCCACGGCATCGTCTACATGTGCGCTGCTGTGCATGAAAAAACTGCAGCAGGGTAGTACTTGTATTTTCCGAGTACTACCCTGCTGCAGAGTTTATTAGTTTTGTGCACCCTAATGGGCACACGTAGATGCCAAGACATTTACTGTGCAGTTAATTAGCCAGCTGCACAGTAAACATCTTGTGTAGATGCTCCTTCTGTGCAGCAGTAACTAGGCTTCCATAAATCTGCCTTTGTATCTCATCCTTCCCATTCACAAATGTTCTTTTACAGTCAGATCTGTACCTTATTGAAAGACATGGAGATCCGTTCTCCATCAACCCATATGCATAGGATGCCTCCTGTCACTGATTCGGAAGAACAGCCCTATGCCTTTAACAA